ATTACAATTAACATTTTATTTTTTAACAGGTATATGAAAATAGATAAATCTTCTCAATATACGAACAAATAACAATCGTATATATTCTAATCATTACCTTTTTCATGTATAATATACCTGTTAAAACATAAAATGTTAACCGTAATTCAAGTAATCAATTTTCCTTTATAATTAGCGTAAGATGTTAAAAAATTTATTATTTCTAATTTTTTTGCAATAAATAATTTTCTCTCTCATATATATATTTAAAAATTAAGAAATATGAAAAAAATTTGAAAACAGATAGAAAAAAATTATTAAAAAAAAACTTTCCCCATGAAGGATCGAACCACTAACTAGCAACACGAAAAACGTGTACGCTACTAAAGACGCTAGCGCTTCAATTAATAAACAGTTGCATTTAAGATAATATAAACATGTATACAAAAAAATCAAAACTTTAAAAGCTTTTTTCTCGAAATTGGCTTCGCATTAAGATAAAATACTTTACCACGTTAACATCCTAAAAGTATGCTACTAATATACCAAAGCTCGTTAAAATCCGTGAAGGCACAACCGTAAGGTCTCCTTGTGAGTGCAAAGAGTTAATATTTTAAAACTTTGAACAATAAATGAATATAAGCATCGTACTGACATTTTTCATATTCACGTAGATACAAATAACAGAATTTCGCCGTATTCGGATACAAACTTTTAGAAATTTAACATTTTATTCAGTTAAATATTTTTATGTCGATTAATCATCCGTCGCGAAAGTGTCAAATAAACAAATAATATGTGAAATAAAAACTGGTGCAAGAGGAAAAGTCGTGATTAATCTTTATTACATAATAATAATAATAATAATAATAATAATAATAATAATATTGCTTAATTTTCTTCAACGACACTCTCCACAATCTCGATATGCAAAAGCAAGCAAGAAATTTTCGTGCCTTGGTGATCATATAAACGTCATGGGATTTAAATTTGATAGTAGATCAATAATCGAAGAACTTAACAACACGTAACTTATGAAAAACAAAAAAAAAAAACAAAAAAAGAAAGAAAGAAAGAAACCAAGAAAACAAAAATCAATATGGATATACATAAATAATATGTAAATAAATAGTTATGTTGGAAAGACGTGCCAGAGTTTCTTTATCCATCGCGTGAACATTGACGCGTGCATAATCAAGGACAACAAAAGCTAAGCTTTCGAGAACCGTTCAAATGTTCCTCCTTTAATGTTTCTCATTTCCCATCGTAATTAAAAAATTGTCGCTTAAAATTTCATCGAATTACGTATAATATAATTGACAATTATTTTACATTACATTTAATATATCACGTATAATACGTACGAATAAAAAAAAGAAAAAAAAATAAAAAAAAAAAAAAAAAAAAAAAAAA